ATTCCAAAACTGTAGCTTTGAATAAGAGAGTTGCCTCAATCTGCAGGCTGACAAAAGCAGGTGAATATTTATTTTACATTTTTACCAGCTTGTTCCTACTGACATACATACCATTACATACTTTTATTCAAAATGCAACAGCAGGGACTGTCTTACTAAATCCTGCTCTTTTTAAAAATTGATTAACCCCTTCAATACCTCTCCACAGAATCACTGCACATGATACCATGAGTAATATAACATATATGCAAAAAACATATGTATAGCTAATATACAGGCTATAGTTGGGTATGTATAAAGTCAAAAGAGCAAAATAACTGAAAAAAACCCCCAAAAACAAATAAGACAACGATGACAAACCATTGCAGGAAATAATGCTCAATAATTAGAGATGCGAGTAAATTGGAAATCTTGGGAGTGTCTCTTTAAAGTCTGACTTTACAACTGGAAGTCCGTTTCAGCTACATTCGCACAAGGAACGTTGAAAGACCTACAACGTGTTTTATTAATGCCGCTCCAACATTTGCCTCTAGATTTCATCTCATTTGATAATTATAAATTGATCACTCCAAAAGCAAGCTGAATTTGTAATGTAATTACTTGATCAGTCACCGCAGGAATGGAATTCAGATTCCCCCCAAGGGAAGGGATTTATAAGGAATAATCCTATTTCTTGTTTAAAGATCCAAGCCTTGTGTTTAAAATTAACGCAAGAGTCAGCTTCATTGACAGTTAAAGTGCTGTGCATGCAGCTAGTCAACACGCTATTCTACATAAGTAGACTAACAGATTTAATGGCATCATATTTAAACGGATCATTTAATCTTTAAAATGACCATATAGTCACCTAGACTATGTCATCTCAATGATTGACAGAGTCCCTGTCCTTCTGACCCTGCAAAATAAAACTGTAGTTCTTTTTGAAACTGCAATGTTTACATTGCAGGGTTACGTCCACCTCTAGTGCCTTTCAGTAAACATTGGCCATGTGAATTGGGAGCCCCATAGAAAGGTCACCTCTATGAGGA